GTTTGTGGCTCCAATATGAAAGGAATAATTGCCTAAAAGGAGGTCTGGAGCCACTCTTCCTCTGCTCCATATCAAAACCCAACATACAAAACACCACTAGAGGGAGACAAAGGAAATGACACCAGAGATTCAAGTCATGGGGGTTTCGATAAAAACTGCAAATGCTGTCATAACTGTAGCCTTTGTACTTACAGACAAATCCGTTGTAGGCACTCAGATGCCATTTAATAAAACTGTGTTTTTTTCCACAGTATATTACCCACATTTTTAAAAAAGGCTTCAGTTTATTGATATTGGTTCAAGTCCTTAATGAGCCTAAGTGGCTTATAGGAGTTGAGCTAATTCTGTTTCCTGTAGCATTAGGAGTTCAGGACTCCCTCTGGATGGGCACGGACTCGCTGGTTTAAATAATGCTTTCTATGGGATTTCCATTACATAAGCACTAACGTCAGTTATTAAATGACTCAGGGTTATGTAATTTTGATATTTATGTTTCAATACTGATTGGCTTGTAAAGTTTAAATTAAAAAAGGGGAATGTTTCATCAACAGAAATATAAGAAAGGTGATGACTAGGAAGCATACCGATAAAGAACCTTATTTAGAGAAATTTAAATGTATTCTGAAGAGTCCCTTGAAATAACACACAATGAGACAAAACACAACTAGCTACCTAGCCAGGTGATACACATGATTTTCTTTAAAGGAGAGTATCAGCAATTTTTTAAATAATTTCTTCAGAAAATATCCATAGTCAGGCTTGACGATCATCGACTTTACACAGCACAAAAGAAGCTGCCTCTCCTGCAGTTACAGATGCAGTTTTTAGAAAATAAAAAAGTGGCCTTTCAGCCCATGTACTGTATTTCATTTGCCTGCTGGGAGTGAATTGATTCTAGGATCTAGACTAGATGTTTCTTGAAAGAAGACAGGTACAACATGGTCAGATATTATATTCCCGACTCCCACAACACTTTGTGTAAAGAAGAGCTTCCTCTTGTCAGATTTAAAAGCACTTCTGCATGGTTTCTACTTGTGCCCTCTAGTTCGTGTTGTAAAGTTGACCCCACAGCCTTGTCATTGCGTTTGAGGACTGTGAATGCTTGGGTCAGGTCCCCTTATAGCCTTTCCTTTTAAGATTAAAAACCTTCAGCTCTTTCAGTCTATCAGCATCAGAATTTTTTTAACCTTTTGCAGATGCTCCAAAAACCCATTTAGTTGCATATACAGTCTGCTGTTGTTTATTGTATACTATTTTCTAATTCTGTCTGAAGCCTTATATATTCCTACCCACTTCCTATGAGAAAAAACATTTAAACTATGATGCAATTCCAATTCTATCCTGGAACCACAGGACAATGATCCACACCCTGTACAGAGGGCCACTTCATCACAGGATGGATACACACACAGGGACAGTTTTGAAACACAAAATAGCCTAGTCAACATTTTTCTGGGAGACAGGAGGAAACCCGGAAAAATCCAACCCAGATCAATAAACAAGTAGTATATCCAAACTCCATGCAGAAAGCACCCCAGGCAAAAGTGAGCCCAGGACCTCAGAGCTGTGAGTCAGGAGATCTTTAGGAGCCTATTACCATTCCCTTGTTTATTGATTGTGAGCCAGTGTATATGTAATGTGTGGTTAGACAGTCTTTACATTATTTTAGTATGTCACTGTACTCATCAAGTGTCTATTTGCTCCTGTTTAATTAAAGTGAAATATTCAAACCCTAGTTAAATTAACATAATTTTTATTCAGGATACAAATGTGTAAATAGCACTGAATAAAAACGTTTTTATTTCTTTTTAGTAATACTGAAGAACGAAAAAGTTGATTACCTTCCCACCAAAACTCTCCCGTGCGTTACTTAGCTCAGTTTCCTGAATCTTCGTGCTGACAATGACGTTCTAATTAACGGATAACTTACCTGGTCGTCCTTTCGGAAAAACAATGAAGCTTTGCTTCAGGAGGAAAGAAGAAATGTGACATAATAATGGAGAGACGATTGTTAGCGTTTCTATAGGCCCCAGAAGCACTTCAATTAAGCCCCCTCCACAGAGAAGTATTGGTCAAGTTTAAGTAGTTCCTGAGCTCGTTTCAGCCAATGTAGCTGCCCTTAACTGGAATGATTGATATGTTCTTCTGCTTGAAGTACTCTGATGTTTAGTGATATGTGCATTAAACAATCCAGCTAAAATGTGTAGTATCACTATTTATTAAATGACCCTACTTAACCTGAAACATTTATGTTGTGATGATTACAACAGAGATCAAATGAGTCAAGACAGTTGTTCCAGAGCCTTGTGTGGGAATTTTCTGAATGGCACTGTTATGCAAATTTCTTACACAAATTGCATTGTTCTGCTCTTTTCATTGTTTCATTGTTTTCCCCTCTTCATGAAGAAACACAATGCTGTCACGATCCTCTGCTGAAATATTAGCCTTCTTGTTTAAAGCCAGCAGTTACTCCTCCTGAGAGTACAGCGGCTAGCTCTGTAAGTGAACAAGATGCCAAGGAACAAGCAGAGGTTATTTCCCTGCTGGAAAGTAAGAACAGGGAAGAAAAAACAACATTTCCATCGTGGAGCCTGCTTCATGGGTTTGGTTTTCTGATTTTTACATTCATCGATGAATTAACCTCTATTTGTCCCATTGCTTATACCGATAGATCTGTATGGGCGGAGCGGTGGCTCTGTGGCTCAGGATCTGCACCCGTGACTGGAAGGCTGCTGGTTCAAATCCTGTGGCCCGCAGAGGAATCCTACTCCGTTGGGCCCCTGAGCAAGGCCCTTAACCCCAACTCCTCAAGGGGCGCCATACAATGGCTGACCCTGCGCTCTGACCCCAAGCTTCTCTCCCTGTCTATGTGTCAAATGGAGAGCAAGCTGGGGTATGCGAAAAGATAATTCCTAATGCAAGAAATTGTAAAGGGTTAATAAAGTGATGTTGTTGTTGTTGTTGTTGTTGTTGTTGTATCTTGATGAGTAGGGAGCAATTTGTGTTCATGATAAGGGAAACCTGATGAGGAGACATTATGTTTGACTGGTAAATGTGATGTATTAGCTATATCAATACTTCATAGTTTATGCTTGTGGATAGTGTTGCTGTAATCATGACTGTGAAGAAAATCCTCAATGTGCAGAAAATCTTGGCTTCTTCACACCCACACTGAGCTGTACTCGTCACTGTAAGAGCAGCTGGATGAGTAGTTAAAAGTATGGAGGCTTTGAATGAAGCCTGAAGGTAAAGTCCATAACATACATGAATGAATGTTTACAACAGTATACATGTATACATACAGTTGTGTATACAACAGTACATATAAAAGCATCTAAAGTAGGCGTGCTTAATTATGAAGTGCGAAAGGCATCACGTTGAACACATGAAATAAGAGGAACAGAAGTGGGACAACACTGTGAGGTTTCCAAAGCAACAAGGACAGCCATCTCCATGTGCATTCCAAAAACAAAGTCAGCTGAAGTTTAGAAAAACCCCATTGAACATATAATAAAATTAATTCCTCATTATAGCCCACTTTGTGGCATCTATTTGAAATATTACTATCTGAATAGATAATAATAATAATAATAATAATAATAAACTTTATTTTATATAGCGCCTTTAAAGGTGGCTTCTCAAAGCGCTTGAGAAATTATCATCCCTCTCCCTTGTTACATAAGATTTCTGTTTCATAACACAAGTTTTTCTTAAGTCAAAGCAACCCTTTCTTAGCTGTTGCATGAACATGTACTGTGTAGAGAATTACCAATCATGGTGAGTGAGGAAAGAGGGACAAGAGAGCAGAGCTGCAGGCTCACCAGGGCTAAGTGTCTTTTATTGGTCAACAGGCCTGTGTGTGTTGATTACAAAGGCAAGTAAAGAGCAAGAGAGTGAAAGTAGCAGAGTCTGGCATCCCACCCTGGGAGTATCCCACCTTGTGCCTGGTGCTTGCTGGGATAGGCTCCAGCTCCCCATGAACCTGTATTGGATAAAACGGTTTGAAAATGGATTGACGGATACAGTGTACACTTAAAAATATCCTTTACATCAAATTAAACATTGAAGAAAGGGAAAATTACCATTAAAAATGTTCTATACAATATTTGATTAAGCTGAAGTGCATTGTCCAGTGATTAAACACAAAATAAAAAAGCATGGTTGCAGTATGTTACCTTCAATTCTCAGTGCAAATGCACAGCTTGCCACAGGTGTGCGAAAGCAAAGGGAGACGGAAGTGTCAATCAGAGTCCTGGTGGACACTGGTGGTGGCCTGATTCGCATTATGCTCACTCCACACTGTTCAGCGGAAGGAACTTTCTGCGCTACATGTTCTTTACATATATAATGTCAACTTTTATAACTCAACAATGGGACCCACGGTTTTCGCATAAAGTCGGATTTGCATAAGTCGGGTTTTACATGACCTGGGGAGAAGACCGCGTATTATGTGTGCCAATGTGGAGACAAAACCAAGAGTGCAGATTCGCTTACAAGTATGATAGTGCCACCTGGTGGTAAGTTGGTTAATGATACCTTACTGATCTCACATAAACTGATCACCTGCGAAGCATCACTCATAACTGCAACTAAAAAACTGCCACTAGAAAAATTGACAATATCTTTATATGGAGCAGGCACGATAAAGTTAAATTCATGACATTGACTCTAAAAGGGAAGTTTGGGTGGGATGACAGAAACCGAGGCCTCTTTCGCCTCTGGAATTAAGGTCTTGACAAATTGCAAATAAAATTTGGAACTGCCATAAGTTTTATAGATTTCTTTAAAGATAATGCTAATAGAAAAATGCAAGCTTACCTTCAAAATCCATGTATTTTTGTTTTTCAGGCGTCAGTGTGTGAATGTGCAGCAATATTGATTTTAATAAGAAGCTCTGGGTCTCTTTCAGGCTGCCGAATTGGCATGGGTTTCCTCCAGCTGCTCCAGTTTCCTCCCAAAGTACAAAGACATACTGGGAGGTTAATGGCTTCCGGGAAAATTGTCCCTGGCGGGATTGTGTCTGTGTGTGCCCTGTGATGGACGAGGTGTATCCTGCCTTGTGCCCGTTGCTTGCAATGACAGGCTCAAGCTCCCCCGCTACCCTATATTGGTTGAAGCATTTAAAAAATGGGTAGGTAAAAAAAAAGAAAAATGAACATTTCTCTAGCATTAGACGCTCTTAGTGACATGGACCAGAAGATACAATGCCGAATTACAGAGGACTAGAGTCATTCCAACCTTGACATCACAAAGTGCATCATTAAGCCATAGTATCATTACTGATTCCTGAAATGAGTCAGGAGTTTTATATACAATGACGTTTTGTGGATCACACTGACTGTATACCAGGGCTTGTCAGTTCCAATCTTCCTGTGGCTTGTGTGCCAATTGGGGTGACCTTGGTGTGAAAGACGCTATATAAAAATAAATTGAATTGAATTGGGTTATCAATTCCTTAATTAAAAAGCTTAAATTAATAAATAAATTATCTTTTCTCCATTTTGGTCATTTTAAGTTACTTATAAATTGCCCTTGATCCCTGCAACTATTTAGGTGCTATCATTTGAACAAAGTTCTTGTGGAGCACAAATGTTTACTCTGAGTAAGGGATTAATTAACTGATTGAAAGCTGAGCTGGAGTGAAGAATAGCTGATCATCTAAGGAAGCCCTGTGATCAGGGATGGGGAATTCTGGAGAGTCAGTGTGTGCGCACAGAGTTTCCACTCCAGTTCAGGTCTTAACCACATAATCCACCTCATCATTGACTTAATGAGACCAAATTTACAGCTTCTCCCAGGTCATCAGGTGCTTTATAGAGACTTGGAAAACCTGCAGATATACTGGTCCTCCTTCACAATCCCTGCCTGTAAATAAACTCATTTTTGCTTACTTTCAAATAATATAGGCATTTTTAAAACGAAGCTGCAAATGTCAGCATGAATGTTCCAGAACACATAACCTGCATTGGTCTTCTGTTAAAATATACTGCTTGGCTCAAGAGTGAAAAAAAACAATCATTTTTTTCTTAACTTCCAAATAATAGTCATTATAAGAAGATCCTATCAGGGCCAGTTCCTGTAGAGCCAAAAGCACCTATTTACTGATAGAATTTAGCATGCTATCCTAGAAAAATGAGCAGCAGCTGACCTTTCAATGCTTTAAGGAAGTATCATATAAACATAGGTCTATATTTTAAATTGTGACTGAATCCTGGGCAGACCAACCTGGATAAGTGTGTCAGCTAACAAAAATTACAGACAAAACAGAGTCTGTATACCTTGCCTATTACAACCAAAATTAAGCTGAAGAAATAAGTGAAAAATTCTAAAATATACTAGGAATGAAAAACATAATTGCCTTTTCTGGAAATATAAAGCATACATTTCAATATCCATAATGTATGTTACATACAGATGCTTTTGTTCATACACATGTCCTGAATACTGGCAAATGAGTACATGATTTCCAGTAGAGCTGGGAAAGAAATTCTTTTGCTAACATTTCTGAAAGCAAATGCCCTGGCTAAAAGTTACAGGGGTCTCTCTGGACATGTAATAGAGATTACAAATACATAACAAAAATGGATTGGGTAGCAGTTTTAGAAGTATAAAGAGCAGCTTGCCATGCACACGTGCCTGTGTCTAATTCATGGGGAGAATTAAGTAAGATCATAATCAAGAGGAGTATGTTTCCTGAAAAAATTATCTTATGCTAAGCGCTTGTTTAAAATATTGACTCTTCAATAGTATGCACAGAGAGCTCGGATTGCATTCACCAGGTGCCACTCTATCAACTTTTGATTTGCAGATTAGACCCCTGGGGGTCTAAAATTTTGTTACTGACAAAATGTCAAGAAGAAAAATGATTTACCTATGTCATCCCAGTTCAATGAAATATCAGTGCACCTGCTACAAAATTCATTCTTCCTGATAATTACTTTGTCAAGTTGTCCCTGTTCTAAGTGCTGTTTATTCTGATGCTCAGTATATATTGAATGACTTCTGGAAAGCTAAATATGTTATATTGTACAGTATATGCCTGTTGTATCTGTTTTAGATCTTGCTCATGCAAAGTATATGTGGAATTATTTGAACATGAACTGGCTTTTCTTAAATCCATGGTCACTATCCCCCAGAATACCATCAATTTTCTAGTTTAATGCAACTTAATGTTTCATGGGCTTGCTTGAAATAAATGTAGCTTATTAGCTTCTACTCATCTGTAGTTTCTTGTCTTTTTGTGAACTGATATTATATTTGCATTCTTCTGAGTGGGTGCAGCCTCCCTTGAGTGTCTGTTGAAATAATCCTACTTTACAGTGTAAAATGTCATTTCTCAATTCTCTCTGTTAAAATACCACTCTTCACCCCTGTAACACTTTAGCACCTACTTTATTGAGATTATTCATTATTCCGTAGGAGTGTTTCTTAACATGAAGCACTTCATTTGTTCCTTCCTCAGTGAGCACGTTTGTAAAATATTTATTTGATACTTATGACATGTCTTTATTGTATTATACATTCGATCCGTTGCACATCTCTTACTATCTCTCAGACCTATTAGTTTCTTTTTTCTTTATTGTTGTTTTGGTACAATAGCATAGAAAGAAATCACATTTGTATGCGTTTTTCTCCATTGGAATATTTTTTGTCTACTCTGTCTTTTCCTTTCTAATTTCTCTTTTGACTTGTATTTACAACAAAGTGTACCCTCTTCAATTGTTTTGGATGGGTCCTGTCGTACATCTACCCCAAAGTGTTCTTTCTTCCTGAATTTCTGATACAGAAATATTATTGATTGTAATTGCCCATGCTCATTGGATTCCATATCTGTTAATGTCCAGTGCATGTTTTCTTTAATCTCTTTTATTTTAATAATGTCATTTATTTGTGGTCATCTTAATTGAAATAGCAGTCCATAATTATATACTGTACTTTACCTGCAGACATTAAAATGTATTTAAAAAGTTCCATGTTGTGGTCATGTGATTATTCTGTGTTGTGGTTCTTCGGTGATTCTCTCACAAGTGTTTTTCTTCCTCTGTCAGAATTGTTGGAAGAAACTACAGCAGATCAACACAAGCACTTTTTCTAGTGGGTACAGTATATTGGCCGATTCAGTCAGAGCAAGTTCCTGATGCTGGTCCAAGAGGCCCAAACACCTGCTGTTTTGGTTCATGCCCAGCTCTCACAAAGTTGAACCTTTATTTGACTTAATAATAGGTTCTATTTAAACTGGTTGACCTTTTTCAGCTTATTGGACGTTGTCTTCTAAGTATTTCATTTTGTAAGCTGCATAAAATTCGAAACAACTGAGTACAAAAAAACTTGCAAATGCTCTACTCAAGCAACATGTTTATGTACAATTATGGCTTTCATTAAGTCACTAACCTTGGCTGAAATAAACACCAACAGGTGTATGGACCTGGATACCCCCGGGTTATAGCACAGTCATTTGAGTTTCAGCTTCCACATTTCCAGTTGGTCCTTCTCAGTCTATATGAAAGGAGTGGAAATTCCCCATTGTTAGAACTTGTCGCATGCAGAAGTGCTCTTATTGAAATGTGAATATCAAAGTGTATTCCATATTTCTGTTATTAAGCATTCTTTTAATATCGTGTGGGTGGGAAAAATCAGTCTTAGAAGGCCACATCATTCTCTGGTTTTCATTTATTCTGACCTTAATTATATAAATCAATCTAGTATTTGGACAAATAACTATCGTATGGATCAAATCGACTGTTTATGTTGGGCCTAATTAATGGAAAATTTGGACGGACATAAAACCTGTAGGAATCTGGCTCTCATGGACTGGAGTTGTTACCCCTTTAGCTAACTGTGCAACTGAACTATTGTCATTTCTTTTAGCATTGCAATATTCAGCTCTTTTCAGGTTTTATTGCCAAAGATAACTTCTGAAAAGGTTTGTGCAGAGCTCAAATTACACCTCTGTGCAATTAGCTTCTAATGGTGTTTTAAAAGCTTACATTTTAGGTAATTACCAAAGCAAATACTTTTAAGATTGCTAGATAAAATGAGGCATGTTATGCCTAATAGGCTACACAAGAAAGGAAATAAACATCCTAAAATTGCAGATGTAAATTACTCCTTTAAAAACAATAGACTGTATGTGTTATACACCTCTCACAAACTTTTTGTCTTTTTTTCTTTGTTCCTGAAAAAATGAAGTGTTTAATTAATGGATGGGTAGATGTTAACAGAAGTAATATGGCCATACATGTTGAAAAGATGTCCATGATACATACAGAGATACCAGCCTGTAATAATTACAGTAATAGTTTTATACTTTTAGAATATGATAATCTCATATTAAAAACATTAAGGTTGGCACAGAGGTGCCGTGATTAGCATTGCTACCTCACAGTGCTGACACCCTGGATTCAATTCCTGGGTGCTGTCTGAATGGGGTTTGTATGTTCTCCTCATGTTCATGTGGGTTTCCTCCAGGTAATCTGGTTTCCTCCCACAGATTGATGACATACTGATAAAATGAATTGGCTTCTGGGAAAATTGGCCTTGGAGTGAATGTGGAAATGTTTGTGCCTGTCTGTGCTTTGCAGTGGACAGGCATCCCATCCAGGCTTGCATACTGCCTTGTGCCTGTTGCTTGCCATGACAGGCCTCAGCCACCATGTATTGGATAAGACAGTTAGAAAATGGATGGATGATAAACATCTTTTCATAATGTTAATTATTTCAACACAAAAAAAACTTTAGCTTGACATCCCCTGAAACCACAACCACACATTCAGTTTAAAAGTCAGAGGTGGCAATCATGTTTGCTATAAATTGAATCAGGACACATAAAGATTCAATTGGAAATTTCAGACCATGTATTAATATCACTTAGTCTTCAACGGCAAGGGACAATTGAGACAATAGTTGACAGACTTTGACATAGCTTGGGCATGTGTTTCCAAATGGAAATGGTAGCACGTGGCTTGTGCATTCAGTCTGCGATATGCTTCTACTTCTTTGTCTCCTGTTTTGTTTTTGTCAAACAGCAGAATTTCAGAGAGCATACATATTTCAGAAGAATCCTCTATAATGCTTCTTATTTTGTAAAAACATTCCATGAGGTCATGAGGAGAGTTTTATGTTCTTCTCAACTCTTAGACCCACATGGAAATGCCAGGGGGAGATTTCTTGCCCTTTAGAAAGTGGTAAAACCCATTTTGTGAGTGTTCCTACCATGGTGTTTCCCTGCAAGGAGATATCTCTGTGATGTCAACAGTTAGACATGTTTTCATTCTGGATCCACCATCAGCGTACACAATGATAAGCACTTTTCCAAAACAACAACAGCTCAGGTAAGTATTTTCTGCAACCTAGAACTGAATTCATAATGTTTAGAACAGATTCTTCAGTTTCTGTGGAAACATCATGATTAGTCAGTCTCTTTTGATGTGTTTCCTTATGTTAGCACACTAATATTGCATTGGCAACTGCATTTTAGAAGGTGCAGTTGTGTGATTTGAATGTGCTCTTGACACTGCTTTCGAAAACACCATTTAATATCATACTGAACCTTCAGAATCCTCTATTTGAGAAAGTCGCACCACACCTAATCACATTGCACAGTGGAAGATATGTATATCAGTTTCTATGCTTAAGTATTGAAAGGAGAAAGAGATTTTTAAATCTTAACATCAATAAGCTTTTTTGTGTTATGATGAGTGTCTAATACATCCCTGTCACAGATGACTAAATTATGAGGCTAAAATGTTCTCTTTTAAATGAATAGCATACAGCAATTAAGCGAGGGGTAATTAAGAGGTTAGGCTTACGGTTTAAAACCATGAAATTTGTAATGTTCTCATTATGTCCAACTTTACATTATGAAAAGCAATCAATGCTAGAAATACAACAGCAACAACAGAAAATAAATCTTAATATGAGTGCATGCTGTTAGCATTATGCTGTGCAGGAAATATTTCTTTTGTTAATAATGCTCATAGACACTTTAAAAAATGAATAAACTAAACTCAATAAAAGGCTAGCCATGCACTGAATGCAACACTAAGGTTTTTTTTAATCTATGATGCTGTATTGATGATACACATTAGAAGTGATACCCAATTAAGGTTTTCCTAAATGACTTCTTCAGTGAGTTCTTGGTCATTAATTTGCACTTGGCATTTTTTTTCTTCAATAGATATAACCTTATGAAAGCATGCTTTCAAAATCTAATAATAGCAAACACCTTTGTTTACCTCTTTTAATGGTTTCCCATGCTACCATTATGAAAAGTTTTCACCTTTTTGCAGAACATATTAATTGCTATTAGAGGGTTTCATTTACAGAGAATATTTGCAACATAATTATCCCAATATTTTTAACCATCTTTAGAACCTACATTGAGACTTTAAATGGTGTTTTTCTGTGCTTTTATTTGGTAGATATCCACCATTGTTAATTAAAAAGCTGCAGAACTGTGCAGATGGAGAATGTGTGCTTTTTCAAAGAGCAATCTGGTTCAAGGCAAGAGCTGCATTGCCATTGCTCTGATTTATTCCTATTCTAATTGTGCCTTATCTTTCCCTGTAAAATAGGCTGTGTGTTTTATTAGAAATTTAAAGCTTGCTTGTCTTGAGAACCAAAGCGAATATTTTGTTCATCCTTTGAAATTATGTATATAAATTAAATACTTCATACATGCAAAATTAAAGCATTTTAAATACCCACTGCAAAAACTGAACGTTTCCAACCATGTAAATAACTTTTGAGGAGACAAACTTTGATGTGACAGTGTATTATGTTAAGCATAAACTATTATTTTCTTAGAATTTTTTGTTATTGTTGGTGTTGATATTTGTGATTAGTCTTTATTTTTCCTACAGATTGAAATATCTTATTACGTCTTCTTGAGTAGTTTAAACATATTGTTATGATATATAATAGATTAGATATATGTTTTCTAAAATGTCTTGTTAAAAAGGTGCAATTGAGGTTTTGCTGTGGTATTTTCTTGTAAGACACCACACTATATTGTAACTTTCCTGTGCTTGACCACGACACTTTGGGTGGGATAGAAAACCAAGCCTAGAATATAGTATAGACTACATTTAGATTTAATTGTCCTGTTTTTATGATAAACTGTAAATCACAGTCAGTAATGTTACCAAATCAAAATTAGGTAACAAACATCGAATAAAACAAGCCATAACAGGAGAGTAAAAGCACTGAATAGTGAAAAAACGACTGAAAGGAATTACAAAGCCAGGGCCAGTAAAAACAACTGCAGTATCAGGCCCAGTTTAAATTAAACACCTGACCCTCCAGCCTTTTTGGAAATTTCAAATCTAACACCTTGATGGCTGCTCACTTCTGACAAAAGGAAGGATATTCGTGCTGGACAGAAAGGCGGAACAAAAGTAGGAATTTTAAATTCTGCACCTGGTGGGTGGACTGACATTCTGCTTTAATCTAGACCATAGCCCCAAAGATTTTACCTTTGAATGAAGTTGAACACAGATGGTATTTTCAGTTCCTTTTTTATCCCCTTCAAAGCCCTCTACAACTGTAAGTCTCTGTGTTACAGAAAAAGGGGGTTTCTTCACCAAATGAAAAAACCTTTTTTAAGCATTACACTTGTCTGTGAACACGACCAATTACTGCAGGTTTTCAGTAAAGAATGAATCATTTCAGGTTGGGTCACTCTAATGTAGGTACGGCAAGAAAATCAGTCAGTCACATCTTGCGGACGGTGGTTTTTTCCTCCCCCCCTGCCTGAGCCTTCAAAGCCATCTGTCTTATCTGTCATATCCTTCTCATGCTGCAGATACGCCACTTTCACAAATATGTTACATCTGTGAAATACTGAGGAGACACGCCCAAAGATACAGTCTGTTTTTTTTCAAGTGCCCTGCAAATATACAAAGCAGGTGATCGTTCTGTGATGTTTTTAACACTCACCCGTGGTAGCAGAAACAAAGTGTTCCAGTTCCACACACAATATTCCAGAGACTACAAGTCATTTTTTAACACATACTGTATAGTTCCTTTTGATCCTTTTCAATATTCCTTTCTCCAGTGATGACTGCTACTTCATGATACTACATATGTGCTATTTTATATACAATTGCATAGTAAATGAATCAGAGCATACTATACTGCATATACATGTTTTCTACATGGCTGTGAATATATTGGGGGTTAATTACTCTAAAGTGATTTGAAACATCTATTATAACAAAGGGGCATATATCAAATTTCCAGATCTCAAAGGACATGGATACCCGGAATTAGTATCATGGGGACACTATACTGTAAAAAGGCGCCGTCCTTCGGATAACTGGTGTCCTGGCCAAATTCCCCTCTGGCCTTTACCAATCATGGCCTCCTAATAATCCCCATTTCTGAACTGGCTTCATCACTCTGCTCTCCTCCCCACTGAGAACTGCTGTGTGGTGAGCGTTCTGGTGCACTATGGCTGCCATAGCATCATCCAGGTGGGGCTGCACACTGGTGGTGGTGGAGGGGAGTCCCCATTACCTGTAAAGCCCTTTGAGTGGAGTGTCTAGAAAAACGCTATATAAGTGTAAGCAATTATTATTATTACTTACTAATAATAGTAATAATAATTCATTACGCCAATACAACACCTCTTGGAATGTCAGAAGACAAAATTCCAACGACATGCAGACTGAGCAGATTACTGGCACTAACAGTGGACAACCACCTCATCCACCTGCAGGTGCGTGTGTTCTACTTCTCTAGTTTTGACTTCCTCTACCTGCATTTTTCCTGTGTGGATGCACAAGATGCTGACATCTTGTTTTATTCATTCATTGGACTTATGATAGCTCACTCACAAAGGCCGTCCTCAAATTCCTCATATGTTCTCACCGTGTCATGTGCTTCGTCATTTATAGTGGTTCTTACCTATGTACAATGTGATTACAGGACTCAAGTTTTCGCCTTTCTGGTAGGGAAAGGCTTCTCATTAAACCTTGGCTTAGTCAAACTTGCATGTACTTGTGCTAATGATTTTCATAGCACGTGTCTACATTAGAGATGCTCACTTTTGTGATCACAAACTTTCTTGTGGTTATTAATGAGGTACTGTTGTATACATTTCATTTGGATATTTGTAAGTTTTTTTGCAATTGGAGTCTCGTGTATCCCTTGAGATTTCAATTCTTTCAATTCTTTATGTTTATGTGTTTTCTAATACTGTCTACATGTAGTCCTGTGGATGACGTAGTTCAAGTAGGTACTGTAGCTGCGTCAGCATGCATAGGCTGCAAAGGAGAAAGTAAAGGTTTATTCCATGCTGAAAAGAAACATGTAGTGGTGCATGTTCGGGTGACACCTGAAGAAGGCCCTGAAGACGAAACGCTATGTTTCTTTCAGAATGGAATAAACCTTTACTTGTTCCTTTGGGTCCTATGGATGATGTTGCCTTTGTTTAAATGGTGCTGATTAGGTTAATATACTAGTGTTCTTTATATCAATTCCTTGGTTCTTTAAGTCATCCAGATAGAGTTTGTGAAACAGGGTCAAACCATTTCTTATAATCAATGAATTCTAATATCAAACATGTATCTCATACTCATTCTGAGTTTAAATTACTTGTCCTATATCTTGCAAATAGTGTTGGAATGAATCTACTTTCAAATCTTGTTTTTTTACTCTGGTTTTTGAGACCTTTTATGAACAAATATTGACAATTATAGAGAATACTATAACTGGTTCATGCTTTTAGAGAATGTCTGCTTTTCTCATGCAGAATAGGTGCACATTTTGTGTATTATGCATATTAATTGGTTGTCCAGATGATGTCTATTGACAAGGTTTATGATCGGTTCAAGGGCAAATACAGACTGTATTACATTTTATGCATGAAGCAGTGTGTAGTGCTTACCATTGTACAGCGCTGAAGATTAAATCAATATGCTTACAAAGATTGTGTCAAGAAACAAAATTGAAGAACATGAAAATAAAGTCATAACCTGTTTCTAGGGTGTGTGGGCTACCAACCCCTTGACATCCAGTCTGAATCATTTTTAGGATGCAAACAACCAATTTTTAATATAACTTGAATGACACAGTTCTGAAAAATTGTACTTTTGAAGACCTGTCATAACTTGGAGAAAGGGCGTTTGTAATGAATAATGTTAGGTTCTCCCTGTATCATGAGTATCTTTTCAACATTAAATTAAAAAAAAATCAAGTGTTGCTTGACGCATGATGTACGTTCAAGTACATGGCAGAGTGAAGGGGGAATTCTTTTTATAAAGATCAATTAAAAACTGTGATTCTTCACCTTCAAATATTTCTACATGACATGAACAAAACCAATTATTTTTACACATTCTGGATCTGAAGGCCATGTTGTACAGCATTTATCTCTTTAGAAGCTGACAGGTTGAATAAGATTTTCATCTTTTGTTCGAAACCGCAAAAATGTTCTCATATTAAATGGCCACAGATACAAAAAGGACTTAATAAATTAGATACTTTAAGTTAACCAACAATTTAGAAAGAAAAAAGAAAACTGCTTTTGAAAGAAGAACAGGAACTAAACGAGTCTGTGTAAAAGAAATCTTAGTGGGTCAGTTTGGAGCGATGAATGAAGGCCTTAATTAAACTAAGGCACAACATTTTTCACAAATCTCAAGTGACATTGAATCAGGGCTATTTCATTTAATTAGAAACGTACACGCAATTTTAGCATAGCATTACCCATATATCTTAACAACTGTATTGTATTGTTAAATGTCAAAAAGTGCCTCTTTTTATGATTCAATCCACCAAATTATTGAAAATTAATGTTAGAATCTTTTCTTAGTAAAAGCGAATAAAACCTGTGTGTTTTTATAAACGGTTTATGAGATGGAGATCCAGAACCGGAAGCAACCTGCCAGCATAGAGTGGGCCTGTGGTAGTAAAACAAAGTACCCGGACAAAACACAAAACCTACCTGAACATCCTGTAGGAGAGAACATGCACTCTCCAGCCCTGAAGACATCTCATCCTGGAATCCAACCTAGGGCTCTAGGTATAAGGAAGTGAAAATCTGAGTTTTTTTACAGAAACAGACAAAGAAATGGCTAAATCTGGTTTCTACAGAAAAGCTGTTTGAATGTATACTGATCAGTCAGAGAGCAACGGCGGCATTGACCTTTTCATTCTGCTGTTGCTTGATCTTTGTGCTGTAAAGGACAGTGCCATCCCAGACTTCAAGTCCTTGAAATTCCACATAGGCATCTGTTAGCAACAGTCTCAGTTCATTTCTTTGAATATCTGCAACTACATTCAACTATTGTGGAGTGCGACATTATTCCATTCTCCAGCCCTTCCTATCTGAACACCTATTCTGCTTTTGGAAGCACTCACTAGGGGCTTGTTGTCTGGCTAGGTTGTACAAAACAAATATTCAGACTTTATTACGATTCCCAATTAAGGGTCCTGAATAATATTTTATTATGCTTGAGGACTTTCACATTCTAAAATGTGCTGGGTTTTGCAGGCAAATAAAAATGATGGCTCTCAAGCACATTTCATGTAAATTAAATTGCAGGATAGAGACATTATAGGAAGTAAAAAGCAGTAATATTTTAAATGTGAGCTTTAATTACAAAGAAGAGATATGAATCTTCTGTATGTATATTAATTGCTTTCAATCATTTTTAAATCACATAGTCTACATCAAACATATTACAGGAACTTAGTAGCTATGCTACTTTCTCATTGCTGATTGACTGATGCTGTGCAGCTGATTGGAACAGATGCCTCTGTGATATTGATTCCAGTCCATGGTAAGCCCTGCGCAGAGACAGAAACTCTGTACCTTTCACTGCCAAACCGAGGAGCCCAAAATCAGTGTGTAGAGATTACAGATGTTATACAGATTGTTACTGATAGTGGACATGAGGAAGCCCAACTACAGATTGGGAGTTCAAACATCAGTATAAGACTCCAAGACTCCTTTAAAAAAAACAATATTTTGACAATATTTTTAAAGACACTGATAGCCTGGAATGTAAACTCCCTACACTTGTACTGTGCCGTTTTGGCATTTGGAAGAACTAGATGCTTCAAAACATTACAGGGATTTTTCTACCTACCAGATTCAGAACAAATTCCCTTCTCAATGAGAAGTCTCAAGGTTATCTCAATATCTGCTAAGACTATTGAACTACCATGGTTTTCCATGTCAGATGGATATTTACTCTTTGAATCCCAAAGTCATTCCAGGGAATTTCCAAAATATCTCTTAGAGTCATGGAACTGGTCAAGGGATTTTATACAGAGGCCTTCTTCTTAAAAAAAAGTAATTATTTTTCTCAACCTTCTCATTCACTTTATTTTCACCCCACTTTCAAGGGTATCATGTAAAGAAAACTGGCATTTCAGGCCTCTTCAGTGATATGGAACCTGGAAGCCAAAAAGGATGAAAATTATAGATCTACAGTATTCAGGTTTTCTCAAAAACCTTAAAGTACAAGTCAGTCACATTTCACACTGTGGTCCAAATGCTCTTTTCCCTTGCTGGCTCTGTCATAAACAAAAGAATGAAAGAATGTTCTCATCTGTCCACATTCTGAGGTTGCAGGAGGTTCAATCATTTCACCTTCCCACTAATAGCATATGAGCTCAAAATCTTTCCATCTGATTCTTCCCGAGATACAATACCTGCACCCTTTCATACATGCAACTATCATACTGGCAATTCCCTGGCCGCTCGCAAAGTTCTTTCAGAAATGTGGCCCTAAAAGTCGTGGTTAACACTGCACTGTAGCCTTGTACACTGTGGTACATCACCATCATGGCCAGAGTGTGGAGCTGATCTATTCTGGAGCCAGCATATTGGGTTGTTCTTCTGGTTTGCACTAAAGGGAAACTTTTAAAACATCCAACTTTACTTAAAATAGGAAAAAAAGGAACAAAGGTCAATTTACCAGGGGCAGGACAGTGGTGCAGTGGTAAGTGTTGCTGCCTCACAGCGTTGGTCCCTAGGGTTCAGGTCCAGACCTGGGGTGCTGTCTGCATAGAGGTTGTTCTTCTCATGTTTATCGTGGATTTGCTTAGGGTGCTCCAGTTGCCTCCCACCGTCCCAAGGCATAATGGTAGGTTATTGGGCTTACATCCCATCAAGGGTGCATTCTGCCTTGCGCCCGTTGCTTGCCGGGATAAGCTTCATCTACCCCCCAAACTGAATGAATGGATTAGAAAATGGATGGGTGAAAGTACACACAGAATAGCGCCACCATTCACCATCTTAACTCGAGACCTTGGAGATACATTAGGTGATATATGACACTCCAGAATAATTACCTTCAGATTTGCATGACACTTTGTCAAAGGAGGACTTCAGGTTTCGTCAAAGTTTCAAAGGCACTGACATATGTAACCCTGTACACGTCTTCAGAATCAGCAGCAAAACAGAACTCAGGGGATGCAAGTTGAAACTATGAGAAGGTGCAGTTAAAACTGGGAACAGGAGGTACAGTACTCCTTACAAAAAAAAAACAAGTATGGAAGCTACCAACCCATATTGTTGACGTCAATAACCTAACTTCTATCAAGGAATGGCCAGATGAGATCCTTGAATCAATCAGCTACCAAAGCTACCAATTCAGCTCAATTCAACTTCAGTTAAACTCTACCAAACTACCAAATGGGCAATATGGCAAAACGACCTCCTCTTGTAACCTTTCTTACATTCACAGTTAAAACCACCTGTCACACCAGACAGAATCTCAACATCTCTCATTGATGGCAACTAATTAAGCCCCCATTTAAGTTTTTTGGCATTCATTCCTCTTTGGATATTTCTCACGAGGATAGCCTTTGTAGAAGCCATTGCTTTAACCAGTTGTCAGTGACGTGCAGGCACTTTATTTTCACTTTTCGCATGAAGCAATAACACTGTCTGCTTGGCCGTAGACGTTAGCATGAGATGTGGGTATCTGCCTGTAAGGAGGAATGCATTGCTGCAGTCCGTTCCTTACAGTGTTTTGCTTACCACTGAATATATCTTCAGTTGTCTACAGTTCGTTATTGCTCTTAACTATGAGCAGCGAGCATGCAAAAGGTGATTCCAGTGCTTCTGCAAATAAAAAGCAAAGAAAGGCTATTACATTAGAAGAAAAACGTGAAATAATAAATACATAGACAAAGGTGAATGAATATGTGGTATCGCCCACTCTTTCAATTTCAATGGCTCATCAATACATAGCTTTCAAGGTTAATAAGAGTGTCATTCTATTGATTATTCTTTGTTTTCAGATTAAACAATGAATGGTTTTAAATTAGGCCAGCTTTGCTAATTATAACTTTTTAAGGAAACTTAATTTTCTATGGTGTCTTTATGCTAATAATATACTAACACATACATACAAGCACACTAACAGGTTTGTACACATGCCGACACATACTGTACCTGAACATACCACCAACAAAATAAAATTCATGAATGAAAATCAAGAAGGCAACCCTTGCCTTTTCCATTATTTTGAAAGGAAAATCATCATGTTGTAAAACATGTTTTCAGGAACACAACTATGGTGTTATGTGAGGAATTCGGGTAGATATGTTTTCATTCCTAAATATCGCTCTCTATTTCAGCTCAAACCAGCAGATTGAACCACGAGAACAAATGACCTCTTAAAAATGGATGCCATGTTTTATCACAGTTTGGGGCGCTCAGACCTTTGGATGACTATAGATATGACACAATCTTAAAGTAAAACTGTTGTAGATAGTTATACTTAAGCAGGAATACTTTCACCAGAACAATCTCGCCAAAAGAGTCTTCACATCTCGAATCCTCACCATTGGTATCTGAAAGTCTTTATCATCAAGTCATGAAAAAAAAAACAATTTCACCGGCTCCGTGGCTCCAGAATAAAGAAGAGGTGTCCGGGAGGTTGGCATCTCTTACAAAATAGTGATTTTTGGGGGGGGGTATATGTAGAGTATGTAGTTGGAATCTGAATTCATAGTCAGTGACAAATCCCTGAGCATCTCATCCACATAGCTAGCACATACAGTACAAGCATCAAAAACACTTCCCCAAAGGGCTGTGAAGCGCTGCATTAAGTGCATTGGTAAGCTTTTAATAACTCAAAATACATTATGAGCACCCTCTAAATCCAATGGCAGCTTCGTAACTGTTAGGCATCAAAATCTAAGTCAAAGTGTGATGTGTTCACCTCCACTGAGTCCCTGCAGGCCTGGATCACAGTCACTCACAGGCTCAGAGTAACACAGTACTATTGCCTAGTCAGCAGCAAACTCTTCTACACTGAAAGGTTTTGAAGGTCTGCTAGAGAAGAGTCTGCAGTTTCCAGCTTTGTAATATGTTACAAAAACCATCACCGCTGCAAGCGTCTTAAGACCGCAGATTAAAGCAAATATCTCATGCATGCTTCCAAATACAGGTACTTGATCTACACTACCCAACCATGTTTGAAGAAGTGTGATGCACACTTCACCAGAAGACCAGACACTGGATGCAGGAATGTTTTTGACTCATAAGGGCAAGACATCATCAACAGAAGCTGCTTTTGCATTTGTAACCTTATTACATATATTTATATTGGACTGGTTATATTGAACTATTTATGGATAACAGCAATTGTTCCGACATCTAGGAACTATATAGTTACCACTACAACGTAGGATTCTTTATTATTTCATCCAGTGACTTAGGGGCTAAGGTAAGTGTAAGGAGCATATGGAGATCAACTTCATACAAATGTGCATGTACACAGACTTACATACTTAATTACATGTACAGTACATGGACTTGCATTGTCTCGAATTAAACTTTCTAGTTGAATTTCTATTAGTATTTTTAAAAGTGATGCTTATAGATAAAATACATTGTTCTTTTTGATCAATTATGTTTTGCAACAGCATGAGACAATACTTAACATTTTGTCCATTGCTTGTTGAATCTAAGAAAGTTCACCTACTATAATACTGTCTGTCTGACACAAAACAATGTAAGCACATTTTTAAAAACAGAAATCTGCTTTATCTCTGATTCAATAAAATATCAAGCAGACCTTTTTTAATATTTCTGAATGTTTCCAAAAAAAAATTCTGATTAGTAAAGAAAGAATTCTGGCATTTCATGTTAATAACCACATCAGAATTCATACAGTATATAACGTATTTATGTGAACAAATACTATTGAAAATGTCAGTATGCCAGCAGTGAATTTTATGTAATGGATAAATACTGAATTTTACATTATATTTACTTTTTCTTTAAAGTGAGAATGCTGTAAAAGAAGTTTAATGTATGATACAATCTCAGGTATGTTTCATATCCAAAGGACAATAACATTGTAGCCAAAATCATATTGGAATGAAGTAGGAATTCAGGGAATCACCACTTAAATGGCAGGAAGTCTGCATTAACATTCTCTTCATGTACTATGTGTTACAAGGGTTTTTTTTACAACCCTTATCCTGAAGAGGTACTATTTTTTTGGCATCACTGCTTTATTCTTGAGGAAGAAAAAAGGGATAAAAAACATAAAATATGTTTTCTAAGGAGTATAGCACCTTGAAAAAGCTGCCAAGCAACAAAGAAATACAGTAGTTATGCCATTAACTATTCAACTGCAGAAGGATTTAGTGAACTCTGGTTAGGTTTAGAAGCAGTTCTCATACAGCTTTTTTTCCATTGCCCCATAGATATTTTCCTATTTGTGCTTTAGAACCTCTATTTCCGCTGAGAAGTAAACCAAAGAGATGTGTCAAAGTGCAGGATATTAATACACACTGCCTATTCTTTGACAGGTTCTCCCATCAATGCACTATCTCCAAACAAGAAATGATAGTGTTCTGTGATCTTTTGAACTAGCACTTTTGTCTCCTGATGAGTGAAATTGGGCTCACTCTGTGTGCTTTCAGGAGGCAAAGACTCCTATTCATTGGTCTTGGCAGCAGAAGCAGTATCAATACAAGTTCCCTCTTAAAAGCATTTTTACTAAAAATTCAGTGTGCCTTTCAGACAACAGCATTTGTCTTTGCAGAACTAATGTGATGTATATTAACAACTTGTGAACCAGGAGTCCGTCCACTTTCCAAGGCTTATACAAAACACACAAGTGTGTACTTATGTTAATTAAACATCTTCTAAAAGAGCATCTTCCCTGAAAATATCCTTATTCTGATATTTGTATTTTTAAGAAGCTTGAATTACTGAGCAGAAGATATGTTCACTTGAACCAGTGGTTTTAGGAATGCAGACCCATTGGCATTTTCCTTGAGTTGAGTACTACATTTGGAGTGCAGCAGAGCTCTGGGCTTTGATTGATAATAGTTTAACTACTGGGTTTAAAAGCTCACTAACATTGCTATTATATATTCTTGTTGAGCAAATCTTGTAGTCTTGCTATTCTTTCGTCATAATGAGATTCACACCCAGCAAGGACACTGAAGAAAAATGAATGAGTTGATAAACTCAAGACAGTGTCTTTAAGTTTACATCAGATTCTAAAAACACGATGAGACAATGTTATTTGAATGTATTTTCTGAATCTCAGCAATACTCTTGAACAAAATGATAGCACCAAAGCACAGTCACTATCTTTCATCATAAAAGTGGCTTTTAACACACCTATCAGTACTGTATTACATATTGATTGATAGTATTGCTGCACTTGGTAACTATTATTATAGAGATTCCAAACTGCCCATAATAACATCAGGATGCTCTTGGTGATTGAAATTCTTTTCTCCTGCTGTTGAAATCCTAAGACCTGATGTATATTTATCTAACAGGAACTCTGACATTGCTTGTTAAGCATTGGAAGAGTACGTGAGTGTGTAAAATAAATAAAAAATAAATAAACCTTGCAGCATTAATTATACTGTATACAATTGAATTGCGACATTGTATGATTAATTTCTCCGTATCAATGTGTTGAAAACAGATATTTTGCAAAGCAAATTTTGTAATAGAATTAAGTACTAAATTAGGAAAGTGGAATAATATGTAGCACAAATCTTATTATTAAACAACTTTAACTTGTTTGCAAACTGTGTTTCTTGTACATGCTCTGTAGACATATGTCTGGAATATACAGTAAATTCAGGGACATGAATAAACCAATTTTTGTTAATAACATCTGTTCAAAAACTGAGCAAATATGGATGCTTTTGTCAAAGAAATGTATAAACTGTTTATGCAGATGTTGATTTTGCAACTAATGTAGACTGATTTTAGCCAGTGTATAAGACAGATGATTATTTCCATAAATGCAATGTGAAGGAACTTTCTTCAACTCCGTATTTGTTTTTTAAATAAAAAAATAGAATATTGTTCCAAGCTCCAGCCATCAGGTAGACTACAATATCAGTGATTCATAATGAACTGTTACATACTATATTAACAGAATGACAGAATGACCCATACAGGTCCCTTTTTAAGAATACAATGTACTTACTGTGCTCAAACAGACTATACTAAAATAATACAGATATCTATCTATCTGACACCCTACTCCCCACCTCGCAACCTTTGTTTGTCGGACTCCACTCTCCTGTACATCTCCCAAACTTGTTCATACTATAAGGGTAACTGGGCCTTCTCCTGCTGTGGCACAGAGCTCTGGATTCTATATCTAATGATATAAAAGGGTCACCTTTCCTGAGCTCTTTCAAATCTAGACTCAAAACCATCTTCTTCAGAAGGGCTTTTACTTAATGGGCTCTGTGTGTGCCCCTTGCATCTACTTCTGATGCAAAACCCTTGTTTTTAATTGTGCAAATGTTGTTACCTCTTCTCCTTGTTAACGTTTTTTCTTACTGTAAAGCGCTTTGAGAAGTTACTTTTAAAGGTACTATATAAAATGAAGTGTATTATTTATCATTATCTGTACATTCTTTCTACACTTGAACTTGTAATCGTTCTCTTGGCCTTTCTGACAAAGATATAACTAGAAAATAAGTAAAAGTAGCCATACAAAACATTCAACATTATCTTCATGGGCAGAACCTGAACATCAGTTCTCATGTTTTTGACAAAGCAATACAAAAATGAGAGAGTGGCATTATTTAATATGGTGGTGATTTCAGATACTATCATACAATCTTGAATTTATTTCACACCTTTCACACTATAAAAGCTTCTGGCACAAGTGCACAATTTGTTCCACTTCTTCTATGCATACACTGCCTTGATGAAATACATATGTAGTGTATGTTGGTATTTTTCCTTTTGTGTTTCTTTAGGAACCTGCATCATCCCATAGTTACATTCAAGCCATTCATCTTTTACAGCTGCATTGTAACTCTGTTCTGTAGAGCAAGAATTACTTGCTTAGACTTCAAACCGCTGTTAATACAGTATTAATACAATATCCGTGGCTCTCCTCAGCCTACTGAAAAGGAATTTAATCATAGATTTCCATCAGTATTTCAAGTCAAATCTATTTTATTGCAACATTTAATACATGTTCAAAACCTTAAGCATACCCATAGTCAGCTGTGTAATTTCTTATGTGTATCCTTTACCTTTTCAAATATGTAAGATTTAATATTATTCTGAAAACTAATATAAAAAAATGTTCTACTTATTTACATGTGTGATATTCCTGCTTATGTACTGTAGTAGCATCCATTTTTTTGCTCTAAGTATAGGCTATGTCTAACATCACCTATAAAGTTCTTTTTCAACAAGAATGTCCTGTGGAAATCTAGTCTACGATTTCAGGTGTTGTATTGGAGTAATCTGTTTATAACGTGTTTATTTCAACCAAAAGCACATTGCCAAATACGTTATGCAAAAAAAAAATACAAAAGAATGACATGTGTCTGATATATAATTTGTGTGTTTTAAACTATAGATCGTTTGATGAAAATAGTAAGGGAGGAATTTTAACGCTGGATCTTTCTGAAGTTTTTCATACGTAACAATCCAGTCCGGATCACGGACAAATAATGTAAATGGATTGTTGGGCGCAGGTGATGGACAAGACCGCACACGTGCTAGGGTGCTTAATGCAACAGATTTGTTATTATATCCTGAAATATTACATTTCAGCAATGTATAGGACAATCAAAGATGACCTTTTTTTGGAAGATTTGAGAAGAGGGCAAATGGAAAACCATCAAAACCACGGCCAGATTTGCGAAGATAATGATGAAAACAATTAATGATTATGTGCACCTACTGTAGCAAGACATTGAATATAAATCATATTGGACTTTTTTTCTCAACGGATACTCACCGATATTACAGAAGTTGCAGCGTTAACCACGCCAACCTACCCCGGAGGATGGACTGCGCGTAATCTTCTGTGCACACAGGCAAGGTCTGTAAGTAGGCTACGCTAAATCTCTAAAAGAAAAGGGTTCTACAGGCGGCACATGTCAATGTGACGCTGTGATTGTTCTTTTAAACGTAGTGTGACTAATAACACTAAAGGGAGTAAAAGGTAGTGATGTGGTCATTGTTATTGTTGGTGATGGTGTTCTGCAGTTTCACACTCCGTAATTGCTATGAAATGGAGCCGGGATTTAAGAAGCAAACTGGTACATTCAGTGGCTTTTGCATAGAATCAAATTACAGCATATTGAACTACGTAATTTAAAAGACCAACACAATGTAAGCATATATATATAAATGCATTTACAAATGTTTTAAATTATGCTGTTATTTTCCTCTGAGTTTATTTTCCCTCTTGAATATCCCCATGCACAATTAAAAGACCGAGAGCTTGGAAATTAACCCCCTTTAATGTGGGTAAAACATGTCAATTCCCCATCGTCCACAAAATGAAAGCTACAACAATAAATAACTTGTGAGACTTAATCCCCTGAACCACAGCTATCTAATGCTACATCAGTGTATCTTATGTAAACGGGGATTTCTCGCATAAATAACATGCCACATCTGGCCCCTTTGCTTAGCTGCTTCTTAGTTACCAAACGATTTATTCGCGGCATCTTTCTGTAGGGCGAGCAGTGAACAATAATAATAGATCGAAAATAAAGAGCCGTTTCTTTTATACTTTAGCTGTTGCTGGTGGAGCTTTTGGTTTACTTTTTCGGCTGGTACTACAAACGAAACTAAAGCACACGTTGATAACGATATGAAAGAAGAAAAAAAAACAAATAGCCAACAGCAACGTGAATAAGAAAGTTAGGTTGAATCGGCTAAAAGCACCATCAAGGGGAGCCGTGTTTGCACTCATGACCAATTTATTGCCGATGAACATATGGCCAATATTTTGTCTAACGTCATAGTTGGGGAAAACAAACATCATGCAATGTTAGCGAGAGAGCAAGAGCAGTGCCACTTGGGCAGCTATGCAAACGCACTTGGACAATATCAGAAGAGGAGCACTTGCTTTCTGGGTATATAAAGCACATCACCCTTATCTCTGCACGCACTCCTGACTTCCATTTGGAGATATTTCATTAACTCCAAGCTGTCTGAACGCTGGCTACACCACTCTGCCCCCTTCGTCAGTCTCCAGGTGAGCACAATATATGTCTTTATTATGTTTAACCCTTTCATACGCCATTTTAAGCCATGAAGCGAAGCTTAACAACACTTGAGGTGCTCTTCTTTTCCATACAAAATTACCTGAAGTTTTTTTTTTTCTGCCAGGAGATTTGAATACGTGTGTGTTTGTATCAGATATTAGTTTATCTTCTTCGGTGAGCTCTGTTTACATATTCTAGACAAGCAATGTGATACCTTCATTGTTTTAAATGATAAATTCAAAATAAACCTAATCCGAAGGAACATCGCTCCATTCATTACTTTACCCTGAAGATTTGCGTTCGTCTGTTGACAAACGTATCTCTAGCTAAAATTTTTAACATTTCATAAAGCGTGTGGAACAGAGAACAAAGCCATTGCTTCATTCGATTTTTTGAAAGAAAGCTTACCGACAGCTGTTTCAGATGCGTCATTTGTAGAATCAAATAAAATGAGTTTATGGCTCAGAGATACTACGTGAAAGTTAAAGTTTTACCAAATGGAGCAAAGATGCACCACGTTACCACGTCACAGGTATTCCCTTAATATTTCAAGAGATAAGCCACCGGGATCAGTTTCCATTCAGCAGTCCCTAAATATAAATATTTCATATTGAATTCAATGCCCATGACCACGTCAGGAATTACAGAAATCGTTAGCAATGTACAACGGAGTTTCAACTTTTCTCGGATTAAAATAAAAAACTGTCGAAGAGGCTGCGTAGGTGTCCCTTTCTGAGCACTCAACATACAGGAAACGTCTCACGGAGGGCGTGATTCTTCGGTGATCTCATAAGTTCATTGCTCTCAGCTCATTGCTTTTTTTAAGGATTGTTTTTGAAGAAAAATGTTGTGGACAATTAATCCTAGAAAAGTCCAAAACTGCTTGATGGTTCATGCCGATATACCATGTGAGATTCATTGATTGTAAAATGAGCCAATAGTAGTTTTTTTTTTCTCTGCGTCTTGGTAGTGTACAATGAATATCAGTGTGATGTATTACAACATTTGCCAGAATTATATATATAATTATAATACATACAGGCCTTTTCAGTTCAATCACGCCACGCCAGGTTCCTGCTCGCCTGTTAATCTTTTTTGTGTTGTAAATCGATGAGCTTTTCTCGCGACGATTCATCGCTGTGTCAGTAGAGTTCGCTAGAGTATTGCAAATGTCTTAACAGTACAAAAGTCATTATGTTCCAGATGCATATATTTGTTTTTTTATATATTTATATTCATTAGACAGTATTTTAATAACAGTACAGACTTCTGCTTCGAAATGTATTTATATTTGTAAATATATATACATAGGGTATGTATGTATAGCCACATACACTACTCACTTTTTGATGTTTTTATTAAATTTAAGCTATTATTTTGTAACAAAATCCCCTTTCCAGCTATTCTTGTTGAATGCATACATTGGCACAGGAGCCTCATTTATACAGTAATTAATTTCAAGCAAGTCACAACTACACTTACCAGTGATTCTTAACTCAGAGGTATTCCATTGGACACGATTTAAATAAGATATTCAGCAATTTGTTACAGAAAAGCTGATAAAAGGCTGTAACGGCAAGTTTAACACAGTGCTGCGCGAAATTCACCGTTACAAATAAACTGGTAGTTTAACAAATAAAGGCATTTCCTCGGGGCATAGGCACACGCTAATCTCATTGTGACATGTTTAATCATTAGAGAAAGGCAAGTGAATAAAAGCGGAACGTTTGCCTTCGAGCGAGAAAAGGGTTTAGATTTCCGGAATGAAAAATCTACAAATGATTTGTGCCGCAAGGTATCCCCAGAGCGATCAGTAAGTCCCATAAAATAAAACGAAATACTTTTACCTGCATACATATATGAACTCTTAAAAAAGCTTTTAAATTTAAGCAGTTATCATCACCACCTCAAGGAAAATGAGGTTACCTCTATCAAAGACCTACTTGCTTGCCAAGGGCATCTCAACGCGCTGAAATCCAGCGATTAAAAAAAAAAAACATCAGCGTTATTATAAGTCATGCTCTGGCTTTCTCTCTTCCTTTTAAATGCATTCGAATAGGATTATTACCTTAGAGCATTCCCTGTTCATTTCAAGGCAATACGTCTTTGAAAATGCATACGGATTGCACTGTTGTTATGCTCGGTTTAGATTTTTTTTTTCCATTTTAGATCAAATGAATTTTTGAAGTCGCATATTGTTAAATGAGCTTGACAGCATTTATCATATAAATACTGATTTATTTATGAGAGGTTAAAAAAACTCGAGACGCTGTGCAATAACACGTAACAAACATTGCAGTAGTAATTTGAAGCTGCATGATGATGATGATGATGATGATTATGTCAGTGTTACTAATATCGTTAAAGCAATACTAATAATAACCTATCCTTTATCTAGCCATAATGACAATGAGTGTCGATTCAGACCCTTGGCTTACTGCAATGAACAGAAGAACAGTAAATACTATCAGTAAATATATATGAAATATCCTATTCGCTAGGTTGTGCCGCCTTTTTCTCTAACGTGGACATTAGCTGCATGTCGCGCCTCATATAAGATCCCCTTTCCTCTTTTCTGCGTTCTGTGTTTTTCTTGTTCTTTTCGGGTGTTGATTGGTTTTCTTCTGTGAAAAAAATATGCTTGCTTTCGCTCTTTACTTCGTGTGTTGGGGATTTTGATGGTTTAAATATATAAAAACTCTAGCACAGCGGTACCGTTGACCGAGGAACGAAAAGTATACAGTACCTAGCTTTCGCATAGTATCGATAGTCCGTTATGGTGCAATACGCTTTGTTTGTGTGGAATGAATGAAAACATCGTTTACGCATTTCAGTCATTCAAACAACTGTAATCCACTCGACGTTCTCGACTGTGATGTGTTGTTATATAGACACGCAGCCTTATTTGTGCGCATTCATACACAGCTTACTATATTTAAGGATTTAAATCGGAACCTCCACCAACGCTGTAGCCGTGCCCCTGCGTTGCAGTGTACATTAACGCTGGTCAAGAAAAACAAACCCAGCTTCGAACAACATCAAAAACCAACGTATTCTCTCTTGAGTTTTTTTTTTGTTCCAATGATAGATTAAGTTGCGTAATTGATTCATAAATGATTAAAGAAATGTGGGGATATACAAACCATGTCACTATCCTAAATGGTTATCCCCTGCATAGAGAATTCTCTCTGTGAGATGTAACAGAAACTATCAACATGCGGCAAAATGTTGCCAACACGACATATTCAACCAAATTGTTTTCTAGCCATTAAGTTGGTACAAACTACGACAGCCAGAATATTTTAGAAAATGACGGTTTTCATTTAAACAAACTCGTTTTGATGGATCAATATACAGGAGTACATATTTCACATTTTTTTAAAAGAAGCTTGTCGCCACTTTGACCAAATGAAAACTGTTAATAAGCGTCTAAGTAGAAAATGCATCGAAGAATCGTTTTGGTACTGTCCCTTTCAAAACCTGACATAGTCGATTTGACAGACTGAACTTCAGCGTGTAAATCGAAAAGAATATTATTCTGTCGGTGGAGTTTATTTACCCTCGTCCCTTTACTCTTCTGCAAGATGCTGGCGATTTCAGAAACTACACGAGTGAAAGTTGAGCAGTGCTGCTAAATTGTCACTAAAAAGAATGCCTTTCCCCTAGTCTTGGTGAAACGGCAAATAGGCTGTGTTTGAGCTACCTGGGAAAGTAAACAGGTAAACACAAGTAAAGGGCTCTTCAAGTGAAGTACAGGCACTTAGCCTGTGCACATTTACCTCGTCTTTTCAATCCCCTTAGTTCAATTGTTCAAATACATCCCCAATAACCACACAAACAGCACGCAACGCGTCCGTTCACTTTATCATCGATACCACAAATAGGATTTGCTGGGGAAGAAGATTCGGAAATATAATGGCTGTTTAAACTATGTTGGCCATGAACATTTGCCATTCTTTTCGGGGTTACATCTATATGTACCATAGCCAAGTCGTGCATACACTGTGCTTCGGATAACGTGAGTATACCCCCGATCCCGTAAATACAACAAAACGTATCTATTTTATTTTGGGGGGAGAAATGTCATTTTAGTTCTGAGTATCGAAGGTTTTACCTTAAGTGTCCTAAATGATGGTGTTAAGAAAAAAATGCTCAGTACTGAAGGTCAGGCGGTAAAGCAGCAAACGGCTTGTCACAGTCCAAGAGTGTTCACTCGCCGTGCAATTCAATGAACCCATTGTCATCCCAGTTTAGACTGCTGCATGATTAATTCTGCTGCAGAAACTCTCAGCCTAGCCTAGGAAAATATTTACCTATCAGGTGGCTCATAACAGTTGATGAAACTGATTCAGCAAAGCAACGCACATGCAGGCAATTTAATTTTTCATTACCGGCGCGTGGTAATGGCATCAGAATGCACTACGAACCGTGGGTGATATAAAGCATTATTATTATTATTATTATTATTATTATTATTATTATTATTATTATTATTATTATTATTATTATCAGTAGTGGTACTGGTGGTAAATAGGTACTGCTGATCCTAAAAGTGTGTTATGCTGTAATGTAACTACCTCAGTTTGTATTTTGGGTGCTAAGTGCTAAAGCAATGTAGGACGTTATTAGACGTGGGAAAGTTCATTACACTAAGGACTGTAAAATTGAACATTTCGCAGCTCTAGAAATCTATAATAAAACCTCCTGGAAACTGCAACACAGCTAACGTCAGTTAAATTTTAATGGAGTCGTATTTCATTAAATCCTTCACAGAAGACGTGGCAGTAGTTGGATTTGAGCAAAAGTTGTGCATGTTTGTGACCAAAGTAAATTGCTTTATTTCGGCTAAGGATAAGATGTTTTGACACAATTCTTATCTCTGGTAGGAGAGAGGCAGAGAGACAGAGGCGGGGTGTGTGGAGATGAAGGAGTTTCCTTAATATTGTGGTAAGGTTCAGAAATGAATGAAGAGATAGTCCATTGAGAGCAGTTGAATGCCATGACAACTAGGAACAACCTCAGATTTATTCCAAACAGTTAGAACACATTGTACAGGGGCGTCAATCATCTATTATTTCGCCCCTGAAATAAATGCAAAAACTGAGCTTGGACAAAAGCTTCCAACAGGAGCCGGACATTTGTCTACATTTCGCCCATTGTCCGCAGCTTAGCAATCGGTTTGTATTTGTGTTTGCCCGGGTCCGACCACCCAGGATGCGCTGAGGACTTGCTAAAAAACCTGAAACATTGTCACCCACATCACATACTAGATAGGAGGCAGAGAAGCAAAGAAAAAGAGAGAGTGGGAGAGAGAGTGAAGGAGAGAGAGAACAAGAAAGAGAACTAAATAGATCAACAATGACAAATTGCTTTCTTACAAGACAGGGGATATATCTAAAATACCGAATCGAGGCAAATACTTTGCAACGGTATTTATAAATATCGACTGAGATACTTTTGCACAATTTCGAGAAAATAAATATGGAACAAAAATCACCCTATCTTACATTATTGATTTCCTTTAAGTGGCCGATTACGATAATGACAAAGTAGTGGGAGTCATTTTTTTTTCCTTTACTAAATAACTTATCTTCTTGATAAATTTTACCGTACCTGCGAACAAATGTGGTGACTTGCAATTTTTTTTATTTCGCCCGCTGTCGTAAATAAAGAAGACCAAATATTGTGACATTACTCTATAAACCTGACTTGATCTAGGAAACGAAAGAAGTTTACAATATTGTCAAAACTTAACAAATACGTATCAGCAGTAAACGTTTCAGTATTGACTGGTTGAAGGTATTGATCAGAACTACATAATGTAACGTCTAATACTTTTTTTCTGAAAACGGACTTTTTCATGAACATATAAGCGTTTTGGGTGGAAGAGGGAAAGAAAGTGCAAGATTTGTTAATTTGCGGTATTTAGTCTAGAATATAATTTAGTGTGGTCAACTGAATTAAACTATTTGGGTAAAAGTACTTGAATCTTTGAGATTACAGTTCGCAAAAGGCTTTGGAACAAAGGTTTTGAAAGCATTTCTTGGTAAGGCACTTTGGTTTCTTTTGAAACAAACAAGAGTCGATGACATAATGTTTAATTTATGCCCCTTGTCCTTAAGCCTAAACCAAAATATTGACCTAAAAGGTTTACATAAATTGGTCTCTTGCCATTTTTAACAATAGCATTTCGTTTAGACGAGCAACGATGATTGAAATAAATAGAGTTTAAAACGGGCTTTTAGACCACAGTTTAGCCCGACCTGCCAACAAGCAATTTTCCAGCTTATTGCTTTAATATTTTTACATATGTGGAGAGTATTAACGCAAACGCTTTTCAGGAGCAATTTGTTAAAACGCGCTTTCAAGTATGCAGAGTATAAAGCTACTTGGAGGTCCTTTGTATGTAAATAGGGTGTAAAAAAGGCCCTCCCCGTCTTTGTAATTAATTGACACGTTATACCACTCATCATGTTCTGAAGCACCAATGGTAGAAGCTCGGATCTCCCCAAAACCCACAATTTCACATCTGCAAACACTGTCTTCATCCACTTGACTCCCAAGACCCGCCCACACGTGGCCAACCTTTTGCGTTTTTAATGCTTTTTCACTGCAGGTTCATGTGTTGAGACCAACCTTATATGGACTGATCAGTCCAGTAATGGCTTATTCCCTCCTAGCTCCCAGCAGTAGCACAGTATCCATGAGCCAGATATAGTACTTGAGGCACTTTGGCACTCTTCCTGGACTTACAGAACTGATTCCACTACTTTATAAGCCAATGGTTATCAGCTGTACTTCATGACTTGCTTCAGCTGTAGTTAAATCTCAAACAGCACTAACCGATCCCCTTTTTTCCTGCCTTGATTCCGTTTTGTGTGTTTTGAAACAGCGGATTGCCAAACTGGTGCTGCAACTTTCCTGCATAAATTGCCACAGAATATGTCGTTGACCAACACAAAGACGGGCTTTTCTGTAAAGGACATCTTGGACCTCCCCGATACGAATGATGAAGAAGGATCTATTGCAGAAGGACCGGAGGAAGATACAGAGGGATCAGAAGCGACAAAAACGTCTGGAGTTTTGGGGCAAAGCCCCTTAGAAAACGTGCAAAACCTGCCTTTAAAGAACCCATTTTATGATAATAGTGATAATCCTTACACAAGATGGCTTGCCACTACGGACGGCATTCAATATTCATGTAAGTACCTTTTTAAGAAACAAAAGTTAATTTCTTATTCATCATCGGAGGGCTAGTTCTTTCATTGGATGCAGTTAAACGCAATTTTATTATTATAAGAACGTTCGATATTACAAACGTTTTTGTTATTGCGGTAAGATTAGTAAGTAGCCTTGTAAGGCAGATGTGGAGATGTGAGTTAACTCGTTGTATCCATCGCTAAGCTTGTGAACGCGTAATACATTTTTATTTTATTTTCCTGCGTGACAGCGGTGCATTAGACCACTAGTTACCTATCTTCTAAGAATGATGTTTTTTCCTGTTTCGATAGGATTGTTTTATATCGCGATTTGGTGTTCCTGGTTAATTCGTACACGTTGAAAAGTAACAGCCTTCGATATAAAACAAGTATGGAAAAGATCTGGATTATCTTCCCGGTTGTATATAATATGTGAAAAACTATGCGGTTTAAATCGACGAAATTAGCTTTCTGCTTCGGGTAGGGTTGCGCACTGAGATTGTGCATTTCTTTTTGTTTTGAGGCGAGATATTAAAGTCAAACCCTGACCGGGCCATTGGGTTTCTAGATAAATCCACATATTTTCATTGTAATCTTTATTTTAATGTAACGCTTCAAAAATTACATTCCTTAAAATGCCGTATCTTTGAAGTCGTCGTGAAGGAATCTGATTTCAACTTCATGTGGAGATGCAATTAAATGTTCCCTTTTTGTTCTTTTCGCGTGCGTGTAGTAATTTGGAGTTATTTTTCCCACGCAGTGCACGGTCTGTCAGCAAACTCCCAACAACAGGACTCATCTGCCAAATCCCCGGAACCTTCCGCCGACGAGTCGCAAGACAATGACAAGGAAACTTCAAGCAACGGCAGTGACTCTGGTAAGAAGAGAAAAAGGAGAGTGTTGTTTTCCAAGGCGCAGACTTACGAACTTGAACGGCGTTTCAGGCAACAGAGGTACCTTTCAGCGCCCGAAAGAGAGCACCTTGCTAGCTTGATCCGTCTCACACCCACGCAAGTGAAAATCTGGTTCCAGAACCACCGGTACAAAATGAAGCGGGCTCGGGCAGAGAAAGGGATGGAAGTGAGCCATCTCCCCTCTCCACGACGGGTGGCAGTGCCTGTCTTAGTCAGAGATGGCAAGCCATGCCATACTCTTAAAGCTCAGGACCTGGCAGCCACGTTTCAGGCTGGGATACCTTTCTCCGCGTATAGCGCCCAGTCGCTTCAGCATATGCAATATAACGCCCAGTACAGTTCGACCACCACTCCACAGTTCCCCACAGCGCACCACTTGGTGCAAACGCAACAGTGGACTTGGTGAACTATTGCAGACTGGTGTTAGCTACCTTTTCAGGATGCGAGAGAAGGGAAAAGAAAAAGAAAAAGAGAGACTTTTGCATTTTGCAGCTTGACCCATATTGACCATTTTATTTTGGGAGATGTTATGTGCGCCATGTTTACAAAGTTTTCGCCATGAAAACCGGGTCCGGGCTCTCCCTACGTTTAAATGCTCTTGTGATTTTTTGTAAAGTATGTTTGTGTGTTGTAGAGAATTTTTTTTTGTCACTCGTGTATAAAGCACGTGCAGAAACCACTTTAAAATTATAGAGATTTTTATTTCCGGCTCCTTTTATATGGAACTTAAAATATTTATGGCCACGAATAAAATCCTGGCAACTTTTAGCTTATTTTATTATTTTGTTCTTGTTCTTTGTAAATATTTTGTGGTAATTGTTGCCTTGCAGACCACCTTTCAGGGCGATCTAGTTGGATGCAAATATTTCCCAAATAAAAAAAAAAGAATAACTGGAAAAGAAGTGTCAAGGAAATTGATATAAATTCCATCTATATCTATGTGCATAACAGCTAAAAGTGCGCGTTGATGGGGATCACCGATTTTTATAAGAGTTTTAATAAAAATGCTGTGTTTCAGAAATTACGCTTTGCTTGCGTCTCTTAACTTGCATCATGTGATGGGGGGAGGAAAGTGGTCAGCGCCCATAAAGGAGCATTAACATTATTCAGTGGATTTCAGGTATACTTTCGCAATTCATATTCCATTGCTCCGTGTGTTTTATTTTCTATAGACATGAGTGTTGCGCTCTGCAGACTGTATAGAAATGCAGACTGAGAAGCCAAAGACGGGCCTTTTTTTTTGACGACGCATGGGTTGTGCACTTCAGCTTGAAGTGAATCGAGTTACATTTTCCTATATTCTCTGTTTGGCTACTTAAGGGCTAAGCGGGATAAAGTCACTTGTGAAATGAAAAAATAAACCCCACTCACTTAATTTAAGAGGACTTCTTCAGCGGCGAAGCTTGTGATTCCAGTGCTGTTTCAAAGGCGTTTCTTTTGATGAGCTCGAGTTTCTTTACAATTCCGCTTTTTTTTTACTCGCCCGTTTTTAAACATTTGATTTTTTTAAAGCTGCAAATCTGGTCTTCTGCCGTTTGACATGAAGGGCTGATGTTTAAAAACGAAGAGGAGAAATGCAAAGCCTGTTGTCTTATAACGGCTCCGTTAGATAACAACAACAACAACAACAACAACAACAACAAAAAAGCTTGACTACAGAAACATGCTCTTACTTTTCATGTAACTGAAATGCAAAAACACCTATTCATTTTTTTAAAAAGAATATACGTTGGTTACAGATGCATATCAACGTGGTCGGCGTTGAAATTATTTATTCTCCACCTTTTTTCCATGTGGAATTATTTTAATTAGCGTGGTCATTAAAAACAATTATCAGTGCAAATACAAAAAAAAAATGAATCCCCCATGAATTTCAAGTAAACCTATTGCTGATTATCAGATTTAATTCAATATGTTAAACAAATATGATTCTCCTCAGCGAAGATCTTCCAATGCTTTGGGTTCGCCCCAACAGAGAAATCTTGGGTAAAACAGATGTTAGCTGCCATTCTCGCTATCACTGAGCAAACTGGTAAACTGACAAGCATCGCTAATTATTTACAGAATTCTATCTCTAGGGGCTGAATGTTTGGTTCACTGCAGACCAGCAATTCATTTTTAACGCATCAGGCATTTATAGGATACCTAGAAAGTTGCTTTTTTTAACGCAACGTTTTATTTCGGAATAATTTTAGCAACATACAGTAAATCTTCAGCATATTATATGATAGTGCACAGTCCTTAAAAGCTCTAATTGAATTTAGGAAGCTTTTTAAATTACTCGTTCGCAATTACATGACAATACATTGGAAACACAATAATGAACATACACAAGGCGTATGGGAACTGGAAACGCAATGTATGGATACATATAAAAAGTAAGATTTGTGTGACAACTAAATTTTGTATCTAATACAACGTATTGGCCCTGACCCTGACTGTGCTATGATCTTGATGTTCCCATAACTCAGTGTTGTGGGTTTAAAATGTGCGTTTTCATTGGTATTTTAAAGAGGCTTTAACCCGGGCATCTCGCTCGGCTTATTTTATGATGGTGTACACATTGCAAATGCTTTAGTTGTGTCAGTGAACTATCTGATATATATATATAGTTTCTTTTAAAAAAAAAGTTAGTGGACCGCCGATTTCCTGTGATTTTTGAGAGGGGGTATTTTACTTCGCAGCCCAGAGACACCGCCGCAGGGAGACCTTTCAGATTCTCCTTAAGTCAATAAAACGTGTTGATTCTTGTGTGGCCCTAACCTTCGTGGCCTTATATCTCACACTTTGACGGAACAGTTTTGTGCAGTCTATTTTTGCACAATATACAGTAGGCGACACAAAACCCGCACAAAGGGAGGAGGACGGGAGCTGAAGATGTTAGAGGCGTGCATATTAACGAGACGTAGAGTGAGGGCAGACAGGGAGAGAGACTGGAGTTTCTTGGTGCTATTCAGTCCCTTTATTTCGGGCAGTGCATCCCAGAGTCAGGGAGAAGTATCCTTGGGTTTTGTTGTGCCTGTCAGTTGGTGCCATTGTGATCCGTCTTGTAAACGTTGTATTCCATATGGACAGCTGGGCTCGGGGAGGAAGAAAGAGATCCTTCACAAAACCCAAATTGTGTCCAGCTTTCAAATAAAGCATTGTTGTCTCTCAAAGAAAAACGAATTAAAAATTCGTGCTATATCTATTCTGGTGGGGAAAGCATTCACAGATAACAGGGACTCCTTCTTCCGTGGTATATCTATGCTAACAACAGTGCTCTCTTTGCGTTCCCACTCTCTCACTTTTCCTCTTCCAGTCGACAGAATTATTATTGTCTCCTTCCAAAAAATCCGTTGTGCTACGAACTATTTCAGAACTGTTAATTTCAGGCTGATTTATTTCCTGTTTGTCTCTCTGTACTAGATCGACGCCATATTTTTCCTGCGGTGCGTTATATATACAGTATATCACAGAAACTCAAGTTAAAATCGATATCTGAACATTTTCGCCTTAGTTATCGAGAATTATTCTTCACGAAAAAAAAGTCACAGCTGGCCTGAGGACGTACAGTGAGATCTTCAGAATATGTGCTTGTAATTTTAGCTGAACTATTGCAAGTGTGAGGGGGGAAAAACACTTATTTTGCGTATGCGGAAAGCAGCGGCAACAGTTGTGCAGAAATTGAATGCGCTCTACAATATTAATGTACGCTGTGTAATTTGTGTAGCTTGTACTTTTCATAATTTGCTTTGTCGGTGAGATAATAGACTTCGTATGAAGGCTACGTGTATAATTATACACTAAGTGCCCAGTTCGAAATATAAATTTAGTACATATCATCTGCGACGAAATGCTATCCGGCTTTTGGGAAACTAGCTATTTTTTTTTGTTTTTATTTCATTCATTTCTAATAGGCACTTTCATTCTTAGAGTCCTATAAAGATGCGATTAAATACCCGTGCGAAGTTCTTTAAAGCTGTGTATTTCAGTAGAATATCTCTAAAGAACAAAAGACAAATCGTGTATTAATTAATACAGTTACATATTTGGGCGACGTTTGAGGCTCCAGCAAGAGGACTGGATTTTTTTTTTGATCGATCTGCATTTTTGTTCAGCAACATAACGTAGTAAGAATATATTTAGAATTACTTTCGCAATTTTCACCGAACTTTTGAAAAACGTCGAGATTAAAATAAACGTCATTTTAGACCCGCAGTTGTTGTAAAACAGCACCAAAGCATTTTTTTTTAAATTGTACAGTTTTGTAGACGCCTGTAGTGGGATACGTATTTACCAAACCGATGAATTATTCGCAAAAGTATTTTGTTCCTAGATGACATTTGAGATTAATGCAATTAGGCAACACTAATGAAATATTTCTATCCAACTATTTAAGGTCTGTCGATTTGTTTATATTGTTAAGCTTGTTGGTTTTGTTCATCTATCCAGAAAGCTACTGAACAACAATGATGAACCAGAAAATACCCTACCGAATGTCATAACGAATCCAACAGCAATTCGATTTAGAATTTATGTCCGTCTTTTGTTGTAAAGCTTGTTTGGTAAAGGAAATAAACAGCTTAAAGTGTATTCTTAAGCTTTTAAGTGGAGAGCCGTATTACATGCCGTGAAGTAGAATATTTCAGGAAATATGCACTTGTGACTTTCTAGAGCTTGGCGATAGTGACCCCCTGAACCTCTACATAAATCACTCTTTATCATGTACATCTCCCAATAAACGATGATCTCTAAACTATAATAAGCGCGCCTTTCATTTAAAGGAAGCAATCTAGTTTTATTACCTTCTATAAGATCCAGATTAGATTCACCCACCGCTTTGGCACAGATATTAAATACAGAGTGCCAGGCTTAAGTGTGAAATCAAGTGAGCGTGTCATTGCGAGTTTAAGCCACAAGGTGGAGGCAGAGCTCTTTTATTTGAATACTTTCCCGCTGAGTGTCTTCAAGATGAACGATTCAATTTCCTAAGGAAGGGGTTTCGGCGAAGGTCGTGGCTCTGTGAGTGTGCTGGCTTTGTGTATGTTTTTTTTTTTACAGCAGGTGAGAGGTGCAGAAAGAATAAATAAACAGGATCAGAAAATAACGAATTAAACACAGCGGTTGATACAGATTTCACACCAAAACTGCATTTTGTTTTCCTTCCGTTAGCTTCTTTTTATATAAGTCACTTTGCACACCGGGGCAGCTGTTTTTAAACGGTTAACCATCCCAACTAGTTTTTCACTTTTTCACTCTTTTATCGTTTTCGTATTTATAACGTCAGGGGATAATAGGTTGCAATAATATTAGTATTTTCCTAAATATCTTGTCTGTAATACAACAACAGCTAGCAACGACAACAAAATTTAACAACTAAAATTGAAATCTTAACAAATGTTGTCGATTGGTTTTACTTTTAGTGAATATCCGGGTTATAAATTGAAAAGAAATTGTGTTTTAGCCTTATGTTTACAGATTAACAAATTAAAAGTACAAAAAACGAATTTCATGGTGCAATATTCATGTCCAGGTGACGCAATTATTTTTTTTAAATATTTTGTTCATATGGTTGAGATAAAGTAAGCTTTTAAAAGATTTCAACGAAGACGAACTATCCGGCGAAATATTTGTTATATTTTGTGTGAAGGATTAGTCCGCAGAGTGGCGCACTTGTCTAACACAAAAAGGCCGAACAACTGCTATCATTGTGTCTATATGTACGGGTCGAGATAGCGTGAGGGTTTTATAGATTTACGGATGGAATGCGGTTTCACCTGACAACATGTATATAAAGTGAATATGTTTCGTTACTTTGAGATACGTTATATATACTAAGAACTATTAAAACAATGCTACCGATTCCAGACAGTGCTCTGGCGTTGCTGTTTAATGTCTTTGTATAGTAAGGTTTTTAATGAATACATCTTTTTTCCCCAATAAGTAAATTCATTCAAAAATTACCTTATTATTATGATGAGGATGAGGATGTCAACATCGATTAGATATCTAGCATGTTGTTGCAAGCAACATTTACATTACAAATGGCATGTATCAGGAAGAACAGCTCATTGGACCTTTGCTAGATTATTAAATCACACCCGCCAGTTTTTGGTACTCAGATAACGTCTACACATCGTAAACATAGTTTATTCTAAGGACATTGTGAATACGTCTTTTTTACTACTATCGGAATTACCGTTGTAACTACGACTTAAGTATCAATTATGCCATTTTCTTTTCCGTTCAAATAATATTAGACATTTAAAGATAATTTACTCACACATCTCGCTTTTGCCCCCCGCTTACATTGTGTAACTTTTGTGTAAATTCAATCTTCAACTAAGTTTGGAAATGAAATACAACTATTCAAATTTCTAATTTCGTAAGCACGTTACTGCGACGTGACAAATACGTATGTATTTAACAACAATAACAGCAGTGGTAAAAATAGAAACCTCTGAAAAGTTAGAAACCCAACCGTAAAGAGAGATGGCGCCCTGGTACCACAGAAAAGGACCGCTTCGATAAACGTGCCGTTTGTGGATGCAGATATTCGGATACGCATCTCTGTCGTGGCACGATTACATCTCAGAATTTTCCACTATTTTCACTTTTTCGTGGTGACTGACTATATCACGTCTGATTTAGATAAAGCCATTTACATGCCCCCCGAGTATTCCCGTAACATTACACGGCGAAGTTGGCAGCGGGCATCAGCTGCTCTTTTAGGATCGATTTTATTTTTTATTTTTTCGCATAAAAAAAGAGGTCAGAGTTACATGCGATGATAGCAAGACGTTTTTATGAAGAGAAAGAATGAAGATCTGGACTATTTTATAAGGAACGGGTTTATGCGTGCGCATAACCAGAGATTATGCGACCTTTAATGTTCATTACTGTGTTTTAAGAAACTTGCATTGTATACACTGCATCAGTTGCCTTTTTTTTTGCAGGAAGAAACGGGTTTGTTGATTTAAAATTGCTTCGCATTTAACATGCCAATTGTCACCATTCAAGCCATTATAAAGTCAACTGAGGCACAGCTGCTTTTGGTTATACCTTAGGTGCAGGCCTACCGACAGAGTTTTAAGTATTAAGATATTCACTTCGCTTCACCTGCATAGATTTCTGTTTCTACGTCATAATGACTCGATTTCACCGCAGAACTGATTGGTTTTCAATGAACCTTGTGCGCCTCTGTGTACTGGGAGTACTAGTCATAACGATTCTTCTTGTCTAGTGCTTCTCGTCGTATTTATTTCCTAAGGGTTGTAGAAACGTACTAATATAGAGCACGAGAGAAGTTGTTTCTAGTTACCTTCCGTCGATTGAGGGAATTATTACCCAGCAAATCTTAGTTCATATTGTCTCATTTTTAACGGGAATTATATCCGAGTTTCTGGGTTAAGTTTTAAAAAAAAATCAGTTAAGGCGTGTGACGCCATCTAATGATAATAAGGGCAGCACATCACCGGACCACTAACAACGGTTTGAGAGATTAAAAATGGCGGGTTCAACTAGTCTAATGGCAAGTTGGGGAGTATTCTGTAGAATCCAGTCATATTGTACTCAAGTTTCAGCGCCGTCCAATATATATTCATTCGGTTCCCCTATGACAAACTGGACAAGAGTCACTGTGGTGATGTTTGTCTTCTGTACAGGTTCAGACATCACGTTGGCATGGAAGTCACCAAGAGGGAATATGCGAGGACATTACTCAGGCCTGTAAAATGACAGCAGACTGACGTCTGATTCGCCAAACAACTTTAAATATAACGCGTCTAAACCTCAGTGAAAATGCATTGGGTGAAAATTTTGCAAATGACAACTTCTGCTTCCTAAATTGGATTTTCTTTCATTTCGGTATTTCATTATTTTATCCATGAAGGCGCAGTTGCAAAGTCTTTCGTAGTCTTTCCTTAAAAGGTTACCTTTTTGTACTTTTAACACATTATTCATGTTTGGAGAGGGACGTAGAGGCACAATTTACAATACAATAATACTTAATTGTCTGATTTCTCAGAAATTGGTCGTGCATCAAAGCAGGTATGTTTTACTGTACAAGTGCTGTAAACTACATTACAAATAAAGATTACATAACAAGACATCTACCCGAACATAAACATTTGAACCCGGTCCTACAGGAATCCACATAACTATGCCAGAAAGACATTTGAAACCAATGTTTTAAAATCAGTGGTGTTTTCTTGGAAAGCAAATGCGAAAAATACACAGCATGATGAAAATGCAGGTAAAAACAAAAACCAAAGCAGTTGTGAAGGTGATCATATGAAGTATTCACTCACTGTAATACATTCCGGACATGATAGCCTATTCTTATCTCTGTGGCCTCGTCATGATTCCAGCTGATCACTCATGATCTAAAATGGAAAAGACATGGAATTTATGGTGCTGGGAAGCACTGTAATTTGGGAGCATTTGCATTGCAGCCGGTCCCACAAGAGTGGTTATGTCAAAGTTTCTTAAGTCTTCTGGTTTCAGGAAAAGAGCAAGAGGCTGAAACCCAGTTTCTGGAGGACCTTGTACATTATCTTCTGTTTTTACTTCCAATATTTATAGCCAATTAAAGGACTAACCTGATGTTTGTCTTAACACGTATAGGCTTTTCCTTAAGGTCTTTGAGGGCTGAGTTCTCAAAGCTTTCTCTTAATTAAAGGTACAGTTACCTATGAAGCACCTTTGGGTGCCACGGCTTCATGACGGCCTTCTATCAGTAACATTGCTCTCACTGGAAGAGTGTGGTCCTTACAATCTCTCCTGCTGGCAGCGCGTCATTCCAGACTTTCCAGTTCGCCTGGCTGGCATCCTGAGAGTCGTCTTTCATATTGACAAAAGCAAAATAAAATAAAAAAAACATTTATTTCTTTGTCGGTGTTAATCTTTTACTCTTATCATGTACGAACTGTGCATTTATGGAAATGTATGTACATTTAGATGCACGTCTGATTATTCCATTTTCCCACTTCATTCCCGAGAACACTGTTTTGCATGACAAAGTACTATTTCTTTTCAAAGAACCGATATGGAAAAAGTGTAGCTTAAAATATCCATGTTGTTAGACTGACTTCTGTTCCTGCATTTTACTTTTGCCAATTAATATTTGGCTTTTCAATGGTGAATAATAAAGAACTCATTTTCAGAAAGTGAAAAAAGAATTCTATAAAATGCACAGCTGGGCAAACTCCTGGCAGATGATGTTTAATGTAGACAAGTGCAGCATTTTGCCAACATGTAGTCGAGATTTTAAATCTAGAGATGTTTTGTGAATTTGTATACAACACAAGTAAGGCCTCAGCTAGAATATTGATTTCCGTTTTGGTCACCATGTTAAAGAAAAGACAGGTCTGCCCCTGAAATCTGTCCAGAGAAGAGCAGCCAAGGGAATATCCTGCAAGGCTGAAGTAACAGGGCCAGATGTCATGTGTGGACAGAGGAGACAATGAGGGGACCTGATACAAGCTTTCAAAATCCTCAAAGGTATCAGGAAAGCCAATACAGTGGATTTCTTCAGAATAAACAGTGAAACGTACCAAGGAGCACCCGGATGTACATTTCAAATGGTGAACAGGAGGCACGTCTTTACTCAAAGGCTTATGGGAGTGTGGAACAAGCTACTTGCCCATATAGTTGATGATGATACTCCAGTTTCTGGATGAGATCCTGAGATCAATGAACTACTACGTACCAAATAGGTTAGATGGACCAAATGGACTCTTTCATTTGTAACCTTTCTTTTGTTATTAATCTGCTTCTTGTTCAATCAGTTAAGAAGAGGTGGGCTTTAACATTTTCATAGGGACTACTTAAAGCCAAGCCCTGACTAACTCTGTTGGTAGAGCATGCGCCTCATGATCTCAGGGTAGTGGGTTCGTGTCCCCTCGTCGGGCGCCGGGTCCTCCGTGTTGGAGTTTGGGCACAAGGGACGCTCTGTGGAAAGCGAAGGGCATGCCAAGACACAGAAAGGTGTCACACCCAGCCACCGCAACCAAGGAAGTCTCCAGTCGTGATGACTCCTCGTACCGCTGGACCCGGGCCTCTGAGGTCGAGAGAGTGGGCCTGCCCCAGGGCAACGGCTTCCCCTCTTTAAAGAGCTCTCCTGCACAGGGTTCTTCACTCAGCTCATCTTCCCAACAGACGAACTGCACAAAGTACAACTGTCACCGTTGGACATGGTGGACCATCATCATCATCAGAGCTACTCAAAAAATTTTGTCTATGAATATCCTGCCACAGCTTGAGTGAAGTTAAACTATTGTACAGAGTGTATTGTAAGTGTGTACGTTCTGCCAGCGGTTGTACCTCGGGAAAAACATGTTGGACTTTCACATTTTCTGCTCATCGGTTTTTCAGTATTCTCTGTACTGGATTTTAATGCCCTTGCTTTAATGTGAATTCCCCATTCAAATATCGTCACCTAGGTAAAATCCGCTCTGTTAGAAGTGATTATAAGAGTGTGTCTATGTCCAGTAATACTATGATCCATTTTGACTTTTTACTCAGTCTACCTCATCTACAGTACATACTGAATCCCAAGGGAGCAGGGCTCCGTGCAGCCAGTTATGAGTCTTGCTCTGGACTCATCAGGCGCCTGCTCAGTAGAGGTCACTGTGTTGCTGTGATATGAGTCAATTTTAATCACTTTTCCCTGCCAGCAATCGGCTGCCCAGAGGTTAATACAGCGGTGCCCTGCAATGATTGCTAACCCTTCTACGCTGACCTCCTGATCATATGGCCCACCTTGCATACCAAGTAATCTGCCATTTTAACCAGAAGAGGAAAAGGAGGCCCCAGGATTCTTACATTTCTCCAGGAAAAAAAAAAGTGGAATTGGTAAACCATATATAATCTGTTACACTTGATTGTGTTTGGTCTCTCTCTCTTTTTATGTGGGATTTCCTCCAGTTATATGCAGAGCCTTATAGAGCACAGGTTGAGCAGAAGAGTTTGGCACCTTCTGACACAGGATTTTCTCACACAATGCTGCAATAACCAAGCTGATGTGTGAACTATACAGCATATAATTACCCGCAATAGTTTTTTCACATTCCAATACTCAGTTTCTGAGAAGTATTTGACAAAAAACATCTACAGTCTGCACTCTACAGAACGTGTCTTTATATTGAATAGAAACTGGGTGTATTCACTTGGCACATGGATGTGAGTTTGGCTTCTATACAGAATGAAAAGCCACAGCTGCAGACTGAGAGATTTAAATGTTTGCACTGTTTTAGAACTGAGAGCAGGCACGTGAAAAAGCAAACAACCGAGTGGTGGTCGCAAGACCTTTAAACTGGTGACTTCTTGCTTTATAAGTAATTTCACCTTTCAGCTTCTTTCCTCAAATATGGTTGGGAGTCACTATTCTTCAGTTATTAAGTAAAAAGTCAGTTATTAGAATGCTCACATTAAAGATCTTTATTCATAAGTGTGGGAATGATGGACATCCTCCACAGTCAAAGTGCAAATTATATTGAAAGAATTCTCTTTGTGTTACTTTCTGTGGTGCTTACATCTTGTAAAGAAATTGAGTAATGTGTAAACTGTTTCCACGTTCACAGTGAAAAGTCTAGATACTAATTTTCTGTATGATGCTACACTCCGCTTTGCTTATTAGCAAACGCAGTGAATAAAACTTGTTTTTTCAAATTATCAATGTGTATATTAATCTTACGGTTATGGTTCTTACTAGAAAATTGCATATTATGACACAAAAATATTCTAGATTACAATCTTCCCTTATTCTTACATACTGTATAAGACCCATGCTTGACCCAAGGATTAATATTATACATCCAAGCATTGTCTAACCACCTCTTCAAATTCAGGGTCATAGGGGAGGCTGAGCCTCTCCTGGCAAGCACTAGGAGCAAGGCATGATACACCCTGGACAGGACGCCAGTCCATCGCAGGGCAGACGGACACAGACGTAGATATGTACATGCTCATTTTTT